CAGGACTACCAGTACGACACCGAGGACAGCCTGTGGTGCCAGGTCCGTGCCCGGGGTGGCCGTAGAGGGCCTGGGAGGGCGGGTTGCAAAGAGTTCAGTGGCATCCACAGACACCCCACCCCAGATCACGGACCCGCGCACTTGACTTTCAAACCCCTCGCAGACCAGGTCCCTCTGACTGTCAAGAACAGCGTGCGTGGGTCTGACCGCCGGGCCCTTTGGGTACTTCTACGTGTGTCGCCGCCCTCGGGCCCCAGTGCAGCACGGGTGTGACCGTCCATCCAGGTTGTCAGGCAGCAGGGACACGTCATTCCTTACACCATCCTTACTCCTGGTCACCAGCTGCGAGGCCGCATCGCTCACTGAAAGGCTCGGTGGTTTCCAGGCCTAGACGTCTGCACACAGACCGGTTTTTCTGTCCTTTCCTTTGACCAGTTCGGTGGTTCCCAAATGGCAGTGTAGATAAGAGCCATTGACCAAGATGACACACACCGAACGACCTGTATTATGCTTTGTGGTGACCGAAAGGATATCAGGGGTGATGCTGAGTGAGCGAGATTTTCACCGTTTTCTTGCTGACATCTGTGAAAACGTTGCTCCCGTCTTCAATCCCGGTGGCCGGAGGTGGCTACTCTGTGGTCATTAAGCCACCGAGGTTCACATGCCAGAGGCACCGCCCCGCTCAACCCAGCAGGACCTCTGCCCGCGGCCAAGGTGTTTCCTAAGGGGGCTCTGGAGAAATCTCCCCGGGCAGGGAGCGGCCATCCCCCCGCCCAGCTGTCCCTCCTCTTGCAGGTGACAGTGCAGCTTCCTCTCATGAAGGTCAACTTTGACATGAGCTCCCTGGTAGTGTCCTTGGCTCAGGACGCCGTCATCTATGCAACCAAGGGCATCACGAGATGCCTCCTGAATGAAACCACCAACAGCAAGAACGAGAAGGAGCTTGTCTTGAACACAGAGGGCATCAACCTGCAGGAGCTGTTCAAGTACGCCGAGGTGCGTGGCCCTCCGCGGCATCTGCTGGCCGGTCCAGGTCCTCAGGTGCCTCAGGCTCGGGCCGCTCTACCTCGGCCCTTCCTGGGCCGTTCACGCTTCCAGCCCAGTGTCCCCAAGCCAAGTTCGCGCGCCCTGGGCCGCCTCCTGGGATCCCCGATGCACGAGAGCCCGGTTAAGGCTTGCAGTACAGAAACCTGCTTCACTTTACCAAACCCAGAGTTTCCCCAATTAATTTGAGTATAGTTTCTTTTTCTTGAAGTGAAAATCTGCCCAGAGTAGACGTATAAGAAATAGTTTGCTGAGTTGCTGGCCTGGGAGCTGCTCGCTTTGTCCGGTAAAGGAGGCCCTGGGTACAGAGGTGGCCCAGACCCGGCCCCCCATGCCCGAGGCTGGCGGGGGCCTGTGCGCTCCTACCCCAGCTGTGGCTCCGCACTGTCCTTTCCACTGCTCTCTCGACTGCCTCCTCCTCCTCCTGAGATGCTCTCAGGCCCTGGGCACGAGTTGCCCCCAGACTTCTGAGGAGCTGGGACCCCTCCAGCCCACTCTGCCCTTGTCTGCACGGACCCAGCAAGGCCCTCCTGCCCGAGAGCCTTTCACCAAGTGCTCCCCCAGAGGACAGAGCAGGAAGGGCTCGTCTCCTGAGAGGCAGCCACCGACGAGGCGAGCTCTGTGTCACATGCTCGTGGGATTCATTTAAACAAGGCCAGGCAGGCTGTCTCCACTGTCTCCTGTGGGGTGACCTGCCATAGTACAGAGCCGCCGTGGGCCCCCTGGACGGTTGAACTGGAGCCTCAGGCCCCTGACGAGGCCTGTCTCGCCCCCGTGGAACTGGCCTGTCTCTGCTGCGCTCTCCCAGGCAAGGCGCTTCTCTCTGCAGGGGAATTTTCCTCACCTGCCAAAGGAGACCTCCATCACAGGAAACAGGTCTCTCCAGTAATACACAAACAAACCCCTTTCTTCCTGTTGACTCTAAAGCAGGTAGCAAGTCATCTCCCGTCTCTGGTGATGACGAGACAGATCCCAGGGCCCAGCCAGCATGCTGTTGGCAGCTTTGCCCACACTGTTCCCTTTTGCTCATCCTGGGCCACCTGGCGACCACTCTGTCCTCAGCTGTGCTTGAGGGCCAGACCAAGAGCGAGCACAGCCCAGGGATGGGACACCTGCGGGAGGGGGCACAAGGCCAGGCCCTCCAAACCCACCCCTCCCGCCTCCCCCAGGTGCTGGATTTGCGCCGCCTCTATTCCAACGACATCCACGCAATGGCCAGCACGTACGGCATCGAGGCCGCGCTGCGGGTGATCGAGAAGGAGATCAAGGACGTGTTCGCCGTGTACGGTGAGAGCTGCGGGCGGCGCTCCAGAGGCCTGGGGGTGTTGGGCCAGCTCCTCCGGGAGCGGCGGTGCGGGCGCAGTGAGCTTCCCGCCTGTAGGGGACCGGGGCTTGGGGGGAGCTTCCGCTCCCACCCGCTGCCTGCAAGGTTCCAGTTCCCAAGTGCAGGCAATGCTGTGAGGTTCTCAGGTCCTGCAAGGCTGCTCCCTGCACTGCGGGATGGCAGCAGAGGGCAAGATGTAGTCACGGTGACCAGGGGACCAGGGAGGGAGGGCTGCCCAGCTGAGGTCAGGGGTGCGGGAGCCGGGAGGGGAGCCCTGGGGTCTGACAAGCCCGTGCGCTGACCTGTGTCAGGGGAGGCTGCTCCAGCCGTCCCCTCGTCCCTGCTTAACCCTTCCTGCTGTCGCCCATGTGATAGGCATCGCCGTCAACCCCCGCCACCTCTCCCTGGTCGCTGACTACATGTGCTTCGAGGGTGTTTACAAGCCACTGAATCGCTTTGGGATCCGGTCGAACTCGTCCCCTCTGCAGCAGATGACGTTTGAAACCAGCTTCCAGTTTCTGAAGCAGGCCACCATGATGGGTCAGTCGTGGGCAGGTGCCCCCTCCTGAATCTGCTCGGGCGCCTTTCCACATGCTCTGCATGCGGGGGAGATCTTGGACTCTCACTGCCCGGAGCAGCTGGGGAGGGCAGGCAGCAGGCGGGAGAGCTGCCTCTGCCTTTGGAAGGAAAGTGGGAGGGTCGTCTTCTCTTTGAAACGGAGAAGCAGTGGTGCCTCCTTCCCATCAGACTCCAAGCCTCAGGACCACTCCTCGTGGCCTCGGAGACGCCTCATCCGCCCAGCCTCAGTGTTGAGCTCCCCCACCCGCAACATCACGCCCAGCTTCTGCCTCAGCCACCTAACAGGTGCCCTTGTGTCTCTCCCAGGATCCCACGACGAGCTGAGGTCCCCATCAGCCTGCCTCGTGGTCGGGAAAGTCGTCAAGGGCGGGACGGGCCTGTTCGAGCTCAAGCAGCCCCTGAGATAGTGGCCCCCGCGCGCCGTGCACCTGGCCTGCCTGTCACCTGAGAACCCGGAGGCGGGAGAGACCAGAATCCCTGGCAGTCCCTGGCGAGGGTGCAGAGCACAGTGGTGACCCTGGGGTCCAAGAAGCAGCTGGACCAGCCTCGCTTGGGAAGTGGCTGTGTTGCTCGCCTTGCCTGTCCAGCTCAGGATGTCAACAGGGGTCACCAGGCCCCCCACCAGGTCCCTTGAGCCCCTCTGAGGTGGCCGGACCTCCCCCTGGGCTGCAGGGAGCCTCGGAGGTGACGTCCCTGGCCCCTCCAGGGTAGGGAGGTGAGGTCTCCTTGCTGCGAGCAGCCGGTGACTACCCCTCCTGGCTGCGCCAGCCCCGGGGTCGGAGGTCCCACGGAGTCTCCGCCTAAGGCCCTTTCTCTGGACCAAGCGAAGGTGGCAGAGACCCCTCCCCACCCACCCTCTGTGCCTGGGCCAGAGTCCCGGCTCTGCTGGCTCGTGACTGCGTGTCCTTCTAGACCAGATCGGCCCCGAGTCGGGGCCCCAGCGGCTCAGCTCGGCACGTAAGCCCCGAGCCACGCGCCGGGCTGCGCTGTTGGCACGGGTTGCCTGGCTCTCTTTCCCTGGCTCTGCTCTCGGCCCAGCTTTGAGGCCTGAGCCCCCCTCTGCAGGCTCTGCCCTGTCCGGGGTGATCCGGCCTCCCCTGACCTCTGGCACCAGCAGCCAGGGGCCCCAGCGTGAAGAGAAAAGTCAGAGGACCTGTACCGAGGCTTTGTAAAACCAGGGGCTGTTTCTGTTTTTGTCTAATGTTATTCCAGCTCAGGCTGTGTAATAAACGTCACTGGAGGTAGCTGTTGGGAGGAGGAACATTCGAAAGACTTGGGACTTTCTGGTTTTGCTCTTGGTTCGTGGTTTCTACATTTGCGATTTGAGGGCCCAGGACTGGAACTTCTCAGGACAGTCGTGTCTCAAGTTCCTGTGCTTTTGGCAGAGGACATGGTGGGAGAGCTCGGCCCTGGCAGCCTCCCCCTCTGACTCTAGCCTGCTCCCGCGGTGGCCTCCTTCCGCAGCCAGCTTCTGGCCCTGAGGCCGGGAGAGCCAAAGCCCGCGGGAAGGAGGTGTGTGTGTCTGGGCTGGGAAGGGCGGCCTCACCTGGGGAGAGTGAGCACGCTGTTCCCTCTGACAGGTGGTGGGGCCAGCCTGGGCCCGTGCTGGGGGAAACCTGACAGAAACAGGGTTCACCGGGCTTAGGTACAGAGGGCTGTGGACAGCTTCTCAGGGGCGCAGGGAGAAGGGTCAGGATGGACCCCTGCACCCCACGTTATGATGTGTGTTCTCGGATTTAAAGGGACAGTTCACTACCTGATGATTTCCATGCATGCTAGAGTGATGGGAGAGGATCCTCAGAGGAGGTCACAAGGTACCTGTTAGAAAATGAGCACGTGGTTCTCCGGCCCCAGGGCTTGGCGTCAGCACAGGAGTCCCGTGCCGGGCCCTCTGCGGTTCCCCAAGCCTGGCGCGGCTTTCTCTCTCCTGCCTCCCCTGCACAGGGCTCAGTCACAAGCTCCAAAATCGCCGCAGTCCAAAATGTTGACGTTTCTACACCATGCGTAGACCTGGTGGGGGCCTGGTGACCCTTGTTTACATCCTGAGCTGGGGACAGGCCAGGGCGAGCAAGCCCGCCTTTTGCCGAGGTCCACTTAGAACAGAGATTCTCGACTCTGCGCTTTGGAGCCACCAGTATAAAGCCAGTATGAAGACTGGAGCCTGTATCAGGACTGATTCTAGCACCCGTGTCCCAGAGAGTCTGATTAAATGGGCCTGGGATGACGCCTGGGCATCAGAAGCGCCCTAGCAGAGTAACGCGAGCAGGGTTGAGAACCACCAATTTAGAACAGGCGCGAAATTGTGCCAAGTCACAGCCACCGTCCTTTCCTGCTGGTGTGATGGCTTCTCAGCAAGTGGGTCGTGAACATCAGGTCTGATCGCTGCCCCCAAAAAGCAGGGGTGCGAGTATGTGATAAAGCCACAACAGGTGTCTGCGAGGGTGCAGCGGGGTACAGAGGGCGCCTTGATCAGCGCTCCCTGGGGCTGCAGCCGAGAAAGGTGGGGGTGTTCTGGCCCGGAAGTGGGAAGCTCGCAGCTGCCTCCCAGCCCGGTGCTTGAGGGGAACAACTTGTTCAGCTTGCAAGTCCTATCAGCAGGGTGCCTGCAGGGGCAGAGGAGGGGACAGCACCGGCGAGTGCTTCTAGAAGCAGCTCTGAAAAGTTTCCATTTAAAAAGCCCAGCTTGGAGCGAGGACTGGGCCTCAGGTCATTGAAGCAGCACCTCTCCTGCCCTGAGAGGTCAAGTGAGGAGCTCTGCTCTGCAGGGTTCACAGCTCTGGCTTGTTCACGGGCCCAGGGAAAGGCCAGGACCTGGTCCCAAGGGACAGGGCTGAGCACCTCGCTTACCTGGGCTGGGCTTGGGTGTCACTGGAGCCGCTCAGACCTTGAGCAAGTTTAGAAACGGAGTCTGGGCTCAGGGACCTGGAAGGCACCTTCCAAGCAAAAAATCCTGACCGTGCCCCTCCTTCCCTCGTCCTGCACCCAGCCAGCCTGGACACCCACTGCACCAGGCTCCCGAAGGTGCAGGAACCACACAGGCCCTGCCCTCGCTGATCTCCCAGTCTAGTGCCCCAAACAGACAAGTCAACAGGAAATTCAGCCCATCGTGAACTGGCCAAAGGCTGAGGAACCTGTCAGGCAGCATGTGAGCCTGTAACCCTCCCCCCACCCACTGCCACCCACCACTCCAGGTAGGGCCTGCCCAGCTGGCTGTCGGGGCTTTGGGGAGAGGGCAGGGCTGGGGGGAGAGTGAAAGGCACTTGTACGCTCAGAGGCCAGAAGAGAGGGAAATGAGAAAGAACCAGAAGTCTAGTCATCACAGTCGTCCCCAGGCTCCCACCCCAGCTCCTCCACCTCCCTCCCCGAACACAGCAGAGGCCACCCTGGGCTCCAGCCTCTGGGCCTTTCTTTGCAAGTGGCGGTCAGCCCTGCTCAAAGGTCTGGCGGCCCCGCTGGCTGCTGCTTTCTGGACCGGTGGCTCAGCACAGTCATCTCGGGGAGCCCAGCCAGCCCCGGGGCCATGGCCTCACATGTGACAGGCTCAGACACCACAGGCCTCGGCTCTCCTTCCCTGACCCATGGTTCTGGCCTGGAAACATGAACTTGAAGTCCCGGGACATTCAACCCGTCAAGCCTCAAGAATGTGGTTGAGCCGCGTGGCTGCGTTTGAGGCAAGAAACTGTGAAATCAGACCCCTCTTGGATCTCGGGTCCTCAGCTGTTGGTTACTTGGCCTCCCTGGCCTCAGTTTCTTTATCTATAAAGTGATGATTAAATAATTGTTCATAAAAGCACATGCAGCTATAAATGTTTACCTGTATACCAAGTGGTTTTCAGCGAGGTGGGGCCGATTTGCCCCGTGGACCCTCAGCAATGTCATCTCAAGTCATCACAATTGGCGGCGGGGGGTGGGGGGTGTTACCGCCATCCAGTGGATAGAGGCCAGAGACGCAGCTCCACATCCCACAACAGGAGGACAGCCCCTGTGATAACGAATTATCCACACACACCCGCTTCCCGCTGGCTGGCAGCGCGGAGGCCAGACCATGCCTGGAGTTACTGTAAAAGACTGGAACCAGCGGGAGTTCGTCCGTCAGAGCTCTGGCAGCCTTCCTCAACAAGTCGGGGAAGCTGCCAAGCTGGCTACGCCTGAGGAGCTTGCTCCCTCTGATGAGAACCGGCTCTAGGCACGAGCTGCTCCCACAGCCTGGCACCTGTATCTCCAGGGCAGCACTGGGGGCGGCTCCCGGACCCAGATCTGTGGGGGGCATCAGTGTGCAGACAATTGAGCACAGCCTCCAAAAGCATGGCCTGCCGGGTCCTCCAAGCCCTGGAGGGGCTGAAAATGGTGGAAAAGGGCCAAGATGGGCGCTGCAAACTGACACACCCGGGACGCAGAGATTTGGACAGAATCGCTGGACAGGTGGCAGCTGCCAACAAGAAACGTTACACAAAATGATGCTGGGTTAATAAATTGCCTCATTCACTAAAAAAAAAAAAAAATCAGGCTCCAAATGTCAGTGACGCCAAAGTTGAGAAACCCTACCATGTTCACGTGTATGGGGGGGTTAACATTGTTCCTTTTACAAATGGAACCATTTCCATTTTAGCCACTCTGATGGGTAAGCCATGGCATCTCAGTGTCACTTTAATTTGTAAGTCCCTATTAATAATTCTGAGCATCTTTTCATAAGTTTATTGGTTCGTTTGATTTGCATTTACAAGAATTATCTACTTTAAAGAATTCTAATTTCTTACAGATATAGGTAAGCGTTTGTCATCTGCATTCAATACTTCCTCCCACCCCAAATTAAATGAATGAGATGATACTGGCCAAGAATTCAGGGCAGAACCCACACTGCATTTAAGGAGATTAGCTGCTGGCCACACATGGCCATGCTCACCCCTAGAACCTCATTAGGGCAGCCAGGCATCTTCTGAGATACAGAGGTTGATTGAGAACGCAAATCCCCTCTCGTGAAGGACTTACAGGAAGGTTACACCCATGACAACATCTCCATGGGCTGGAGGGACCGTTTTAACAGCAGAAAGCTCCCAAAGTCAGGAGCAGAGCTCCAGGGCTGGAAACTCAGCCTTTCCTGGGGCTCACCCAGTGTGGTGAGGGGCGTGGTCACACTCCTCCTCTCACTGCTGCAAGGGAGGGGTTTTCACATCAGAGGCTGCCTCCATGGAGCGTGGCAGCTAGCTGTGAGGGAACCACGTGCCTCCCCAGCCCAAGGAGCACCCTTTCTGAGTGGGCCTCCCCGGGGGTACAGACGGGACCGCCAAGTGCATGGAGGGAGTCCTGTGTTTTGCTTGGTTGGGGCGTTCGCGGCTCACGAGATGAAACTGGCACAAACCAATGACAGCAGCCGCCTTACAGAACTAAGAACCACAATCTATGGCCCGAACCAAAGTGGATGTAAATTTTGAAGAGTTTTAGAATTACGTCATACACATTACCAGAAAGAATCTCAGACCCTGGGGGCTTGCCCTTGGCTGCGGAGGAGATGGGTACCAGTTACCAAGGATTCCTGTGATATTGTCTCATATGAACCCCTCAGCCCAGCAGCACGCGTCCTATTAGCCCCATTTCATAGTTGAAGAAATAGGTCTAGAGAAGGGAAAGCAATGCCCTGGGGTCAGATCAAATTCCAGGGAAGACACCCAGGTCTGATGTCCCTCTTGGAGCTGTGCCTCTGCACGGCGTCTCCTGGCATATCCACCAGGTTGTCACAATGCCCCT